CTGGCACTCGTCAAATCGCTGGTCCAGGAAGTGAGTCGAGCAGAACGGTAGTAGAAAACCACAGTAACTTTACAGGACATGTTTACCGTTCCCAAGAGGAGATACACCGTTTCCGTGTAATGGTGACCAGTCCCCTCGGCAGACTTGCAGGGCTTCTCATTGTTTGTGCCCCTGACTTTCGTAACTCGAAAATTTTTGTCGAGGTTATGTCATTTGCTGTATCATGAAGAGCTCTCTTATTCCAGTCTGCTCCACAAAAATAAGCATAGCAATAGACTGCGCCATAATCATGGACTATGGCGCAATCGCAGTATGTACACGTATTATCACATAACCGCTATCTTTTCACATATATTAACAGAATAACACATAGAGTCCGCTATCGTGGCCCTTTGTGCTTTGACCTGTTGGGGAATGGTGACGAAGGGGAAGCTATCTCCACATCTTGCATCATCTTCATCATCATCATCATCATCATCCATCAACCACATCTTGCAACTGCGCCCTAGAAAGGCTCCGTTATATAGCAGCACTCACTATTTCCGCTGTATTTCCGCTAATCTTTGACCTTTTAAGAAAAAAAATGTGCAGTAGCGAGGTCACACAGCAAATGAAAATGAGGGAGATTTACTCCCATTAGACAAAATATTTCACGTACAAAGTTATCAAAACTCCTCGTACCGAGAGTGAGAGAACGGAGCTGAGATAGTCGAAGGGGGAAGGGGCACACGGCGAATGCAGCTAGGCCACGGCATCGTCTTCATCCTCAGAGCACGTCGTACATAGTGGATCACAGCGAGGGGGGGGGTGGAACTGAGGTCGTTTCGATAGGTACACGGGAAGTCGTAATTGCCTTTTAGAGAATCAGGTGCGTCAATCCCCCCCCCACCTATTACCTTTCGCTCAACAGGTTGCAGAGAAAAAGTGGAGGACTTTTGGGAAAAATCACAAGAAAAAGGGAGGAAGTTGGGAAAATCAGGGGAGACGGTAGGCAGAATGAGGTATGAGAAGGAAAGGAGGTCGTACTTTCTGGAACTTCCCCTCAACAGCAGGACATGCCTTTCTGCACTTCCACGAGGTACGATTGGCCCATTGAACTTCTGCCCCTAACGCTTAGAGAGACGAATAGAGGGGCCGCGACCTCGTCCCTCCGCTTGCCTCTTCCTCCTTTACCCCTACCTTAGCTCTAACAGATATGCTATGTAAAGTGAACAACTGCGGTAGCTTTCTGTAGAAATACAATGACTCATACCGCTGGGCTTAACATATTCTGAAATCGGGAAGCTGCAAGAACGATGCTGCACTCGTTGCTAGCTTCACTTACGGAGACTGCTGCAAACATTACGGTATTTGGAAATTAACCAGCTTGTATTCTTACCAACAGGAGCTGATAGGAATACCAACAACTCGTCATGTACACTTACTAGGAAATGGTTCTAAATTTTCACAGAAGTTTGAATAGAAACCGGATTACCTGTTCTATTTTCTGGTGCCTTATTTCCTATTTTTCAGGAGATAAGGCACCAGAAAATAGGGTATGTTAATAGTACGGAATGAAGGTTACATATAAGGAAAAAGCCTTTAGGGACAAAGTCGCTTTGGCCACATAATTGCAGGATTTCGGTTGGGTCCGTACCCCTCCCCTCTTTTTTTCAAAGGGTTAGTACGACCACCGCCCTGGTTCCCTCCTCATCGAGCTGTCAGAGAAACAAAGTAACATAACACGTGAAAGGGAAAAGCGCTAGGAAAATACGACCTCGCCTCCCCATCTGGTACCACTTCCTTCGATTTCGGGGAGGAGGTAGTATATGTACGTAATAAATATGAAACAGGGAAACCCACGAAAAATCACCTTTATCAAAAGGCCAGAGAGAAAGTCTGAGAGAAAATTTTTTGATTGCTGATTTTTCTTGTTTCAGAGACGCTGCCAAGGGGGTGGGACGTATTTGGCTTCTGGCCTTTTGATAAAGGTGATTTTTCGTGGGTTTCCCTGTTTCATATTTATTACGTACATATACTACCTCCTCCCCGAAATCGAAGGAAGTGGTACCCAGATGGGGAGGCGAGGTCGTATTTTCCTAGCGCTTTTCCCTTTCACGTGTTATGTTACTTTGTTTCTCTGACAGCTCGATGAGGAGGGAACCAGGGCGGTGGTCGTACTAACCCTTTGAAAAAAAGGGGAGGGGTACGGACCCAACCGAAATCCTGCAATTATGTGGCCAAAGCGACTTTGTCCAAAAATGATTGACCATCACTAAAGGCTTTTTCCTTTTATATGTAACCTTCATTCCGTACTATTAACATACCCTATTTTCTGGTGCCTTATCTCCTGAAAAATAGGAAATAAGGCACCAGAAAATAGAACAGGTAATCCGGTTTCTATTCAAACTTCTGTGAAAATTTAGAACCATTTCCTAGTAAGTGTACATGACGAGTTGTTGGTATTCCTATCAGCTCCTGTTGGTAAGAATACAAGCTGGTTAATTTCCAAATACCGTAATGTTTGCAGCAGTCTCCGTAAGTGAAGCTAGCAACGAGTGCAGCATCGTTCTTGCAGCTTCCCGATTTCAGAATATGTTAAGCCCAGCGGTATGAGTCATTGTATTTCTACAGAAAGCTAGCGCAGTTG